CCTAGCTAACGTTGAAGAGTTCAGCATGCTGAAAACATTTTGATAGGAAAGCAAACAATTAAAGTGCCTACCTGAGACAGAGGAGAAAGCAGGAGGGTGGCCAAATTGTGGTCTGACATCAGAGTTGCATAACTGTAAGTAACAACTTGGTATTCTTGAAAAATCAATTTCTAGGTTAATGAACATACAGCTTATACGGTGTTGACACTGAATTTAGTAATAATACCCAGAGATTAAGGTAAATGACCTCCCTGCTTTAAGTAAGGGACACATTTTAAACTCCTATCGTGCAATAATATGACATTTTGTACATCAAAAAGAAAAGACTATATATAGGACATCGTGAAACGTATTATTTAACTTACAGCTTTAATTAACGCTTGAAGTTGCTTACATGGCAACAGAAGAGGTAATTATAGATTATATTGATACTTTTAATTTCTCAACATCTCCTATTAGTGTTTCCAGTTCATTAAAACATAGCTAATCTTCAAAACGTGGGAGAAGTTCACTCACAGTGGTTCTGCTCCTTTGGCAAAAAGACCAGAGAATAGCCCATAATTTGACTCAGCAATAAAGAGAAGCTGTTCATTTTTCCTTAGAGAAATTCTAGTGCCTGCGTGCTTCAGAGAAGAAACTTGAATTTTGCCAAAGAGGGCTGTTGTGATAAGGATACACTTCTTCTCACCTTCTTAAAGTTTTTCCCAAGTGCTCAAATTGCAAGTCTGTGAGAAGCCAACGGGTCAGCAAGACCTTGCTGGAGGACTGCAGTCAAATTCCCTGAAGGTTCATGCTGCTTCCAGCCTAGACCCAGGCAGGATCTTCAGTAACTGCTTCAAGCCACAGCTGGTACCTCTCTTCTGTTCTTCCAGGGCTCACTGCTGGGTCCTGGCAATAGGGGGAAGAACCCGAATGACCCCAGTGTGAAGTACACAGCTGGGGCTACAAGGCTTGAAACAGCAGCAGGAGGAGGAGACTAACACTGTAGCTTCACAATCGCTTTAAGCTGCCATAAGCTGTCTCTGCGGCTGGAAGAAGCCGTCCTAGCTCTCCTTTCCCTAGTCACACATTTCTGCCATCTCCCTCATCTGCCCACAAATGTTCCTGTAGCTGCACGGTGACTGAGCAACCGATCCAGCAGAACACCAGGTTTTTTTCTGAGCGACTTTTAACTCAGATAATTTCCATTATTTGATTCACCACTCTACTGCACAAAAATTTGTGCTGGCAAAAGTCAAAGAGCTACAGAGAGGTTGGATTTCTTCTTTTGTCACTAAGGCTGTAGGTATGAGCATAAACTGGTCGTGAAACTATAGCATTAGTGTTAAGGTGGTTAGTGTAAGTAGAATCCCGGCTGAGCTAGCGTTCAGCCTGCTTATTCATGTATCAGCCTGCCTCTTCTTGCAAGCCTCATTCACCATGCACCGTCCAATTTCTACCATAGATAAGGCAGACAGTAGCTTCTTGCACTATTTCACCCCAGAGCAGGTCAGACAAGGCACAGAGCGAGACACCTTCTTGCAAGGAGCAAAGCAGAGCGAGACTCTGACTGAGTCCGTGTTTGTGGAGGGAGAGGGGTTTCACAGTGCCTTCCCTCCGAGTGTTTAGTTTGTAAATTCAGTACCATTATTTTCACAAAACTTACAGGGTGCAACGTATTGTTTACAATCTACTCACAACCCTTTGGAAGTTGGTAGATGGCAAAGAGAAATGTGGTCTGACGTCTAATGGAAGTGAGCTGGATTTCAAGCTCTGCCACCTGCACTGTTCTCCAAGTGACTTCTGGCAAGGCTTAGTCTCTCTGTGCTTCAGTTTCCTACCTGTTTATTGAGAAGAATGTATTTTTGTTCTGAGGAGAATGAATTCATTCACGTTAGTGGGACACCTGAGTGCCAGAGGGATTGGAGCAGTCATTCAAATAGCTCAGATCAGCGCACATAAACGGCAGCAGTCGTAACTCTGCAACTGCGCTTCCCAGAACACTGGAAACGGTCACAGATGCTGTAAGCATCATTCCATCATTTTCTGGCCAGGGAGAACTTGTTGGAGAAGGCTGAAGTGTGCTGAAAGCTACACGCTGCGTGTCGTAGTCATCGGTGACCTAATGACTTCAAATTGTGGCTCGGCAGTGCTATCTTGATCTGAGCAGATACAGTTTGTTAGGTTGTCCTGATTACTCAAAGCTTTATTTTCTGCCCTACAGTAGTGATTCTTGTTGATTTAAAATTTACAAATGCCTTTCCTTCATCACCTGGTATTATGCATTTCTCAAGACAGCCTTTTTATGAGATTACTAAATGAACATCAGTGCCGTAAACCACAGACCTAACTGATAGGATAAATACCAGTATCAATGACTGAATTAATTCCCAGCATGTTTCTTTCGGCTTTAGTGGTGTTACCCAAGAGACAGACTGGGTCCCACAGGCAATGACATGAATTACCCGCAGGGCAACTGAATGAAATGAAGAATATTATTAATGTTAGGTACCTTTAAAAAGTCACTGCAATAAAATCATCTTACCATCTGAGTAAGCTTTTAATGGAAGTATTTGATTGTCAAAGAGGTAATTTTTAAATTTTAGCTTGACTGATCTATCTGAATATTTCTGGGGTCATCCTGAGGTGGCTCTACCTTATGTATATGACAAACACCAAAGCTGGGAAGTTGCTCTGAATTTTATCCTAGACTAGACATCAAGTATCCCCAGATGTTTAAGTAACTGCAGTGCTGCCTTTTTGTAAACAAATATTAGAGCTCTCAAAAATTAATGCAAAATATAACTTCACAAAATCCCTAAACATAATCTCTACCCGATGTGTCCATTGACAATCTTTTGCCCAGTCTCAGGGTATGTAATAGGAAAGCAGAACAAAATCCAACTTCGTCTCAACATTTGTGCAAGAATAAAATAGCGTTAGGTGCGCTCTGGAGACTTTTATTAAGAAGAGTGTTTAAAGTAGCAGCTTGCTCCTAGGATTTAATTTCCAGCGCCTGTGAGCTGACTAAAGTCTCTGTGAACACGAGACATTAATCACATCTCTTGAATACCAGAGCTGCATGTGGGTGACTGCAGCGACGGCATTTTCATCCCGCTGAAAAAGCCATCGCCATTTGATCAGGCTGGAAAAAAAACCCCATTTGCAAACGCGGAGGCTGTCTCTAATGGGCACTGAACACGCACATGTTCGGCATGGAGAAGCCGCGCAAGTCCTTACGCCTAAAACGGATAGGTTTAAATCGGATTCAGAACCACTTCCCTGTCTCGCGTATTCTCTGTTTACACGGTTAAATTTCCCTACGATGAACGCGGCTGCTACTACTACAACACGAGCTGAACAAGGGCGCTGGGAACGTGGAAAATACTGCTGCCACCCCAAC